TACAAACCATAATGTTACACATGGACTCAAGACTGGGGAACTCAGGAGAAAAATAGAGCAACTTTTTTTTATGTACTTAAAATTAAATCATGAAAATCATGGAAAATGGCTTTTAAATTAAAGCTTTTTTCATACTTTTAATTTCCTGGGACGCTCTTGCAGGGCTGCTTTGGTGCAAGCATTCCAGTCTAATTAGTAATGTGTGTGTATTTGCGGTGCAGCGACTGGTAAATCGCTTACCCATAAGCCTTTGCCTCGGCTCAGGAAATGACAGCACACAGGGGCAAGGTTCCATCCAAACAATATCTACTGAGATATTACCACATAAAACACTTTTCCTGTCCGCTCCCAGATGGTTCCAAAGCACCGTGTGTTTTTTTTTTTCTCTCTGCTGACCGGAGGAATTTGTGAATGGCCGAAGTCCCCTTAAGGGTCCCGAGCCAAATCCCGTATTAAAATCTGACACCACGTACGGATTGCAGCAGAGTCTCTGAGTGTACGAGGATGGCCCCTTTGGTGAGAAAACACCAGAGTCATTCTTTTATTTCCCCTTCGTCAAAATTAAAAGCAGATGTCTGCACGTTGAAATGACAGTACAGAGGATGACGTAAGCTAGTCACTGAGGCCTCGCAATAATAATATTAAAACTGAATCACACCACGGTTACAATGTCCTGTAATTTGTATTATGGTTTTACAGTACAATTACTCAAATATGCCCTGTGTAAAAGTATTTGAGGGCTTTATTCCTTATTAAATATTGTAATCCTACTTAACCAAACAATCAAGTTAAAGCTCAGCACCTTTCTACCTGATAGCAGACAATGAGCGACTGTTTTATGGTGACGCTTGGCTGGTCTCTGGAAATGTCTGCCGTTATGGTTTTTTCACATGAATTTGAGCCATAAAAAATCACCTTTCAGACACGGAGAGACGATGACCTGGAAAACGGCAATCCAGAAACCAAATGACATCACACACAAGCAAGGTTTACTTTTTCAATTCTAGGGGTTAAAACTCCTAATCTGTGTTGTTACGGCATTCATCCACTGTGCCTGACCACCTGGGTGGTGATGTAACGTGATTTCCTGCTCAGCCCACAGGACAGTGAACACAAAACCCACAAATGAACACAATACAGAAGGAGAAAATACATATTCACTGGCTTCAGTGGCCCAGGCGTGACACCCCCGAATGTCACAAGGTGCCATCAACGTGACAGAGAGACCGGAGCGCTCAACGTCATGTAAACGCAAAGGCATTTTCAGGAGCCGGAGCCGCCGCTCGCATACGAAATTCTTGACATCTTTCCAGGCTGTAACAGGATCCCAGAAAATATCAATAACAATTGGATTTTCTGCTCCGTGAACCAGAACTCAAGATAACTAGTTTGCGAACGCCGGCAGAGCAGTACACTGCCCTACAGGAGTGCCGACTTGACCCAAACTGAACCGTGTTGGGTTAGTAATTCAATCTGTGCGACTCCTTCGACCAGAAATACTGTGTCGCGGCATGGGCTGAGCACAGTCCTTTTCAGATATCCTTCTGATGGGGCAGTGATCACTTCCAGCGGCCCAATGAGAATGAATGGCCCAGCCAGTGCCAATGAAAGGGGAATGAGCTGGAATCGTGCTGCTCACATGATAAATGCAATTCCAACACTTTGCCCAATTAGCCCGATTTTCCAGCCCACCTCTACGATTCAGACGGATACGAACGAAGGCCAGCGTAACCCCGACGTGAAACACGCCTCGCTCTATTACACATGCATAAGGGAAAAGTTCCAGATAAATCCCTGAAAGGTGACGTGAGTTTCCTCAAACAATTTTGAGCTAGATCTGGTGCCCCATGCACCCCGACAGACCGCATGCAGACAGCAAAGCAGCGTCGCATAAGGGAAGATGCTCGCCGTCTTGCGTCATCACAGACGGTGCATGCGTTTGGCACTCGGCCTCCCACGGGCCTCTCTAACCCACTGCGAACACGATTAAGCTGCGCGGAATGAAAATGTGTTTTTTTTCGGGGCTTTTTCTGTTTAATCAGGGGCAAAAGCAGCTCTGCTCTTCTCATTTCCTCTTACTGGCTTCCAGGTCACTGGGAATCAGTGCAGAATAAATGAATTACATGTCTGTTGTTTACATAACGTAAAACCATCAAGGCCTAAGTGCTGGCTTTCTGTGGAAACCTCACCGCACGCACACATGCACGCCGGTGCTGTCCGCACACCCATGAATCTTGAATATTAATTTCCTCTTTCTCACTCCATCATCTCAGAAGCTCCCCATTCAGGCTGAGTAAGTTACAGCCTTACGGGGCCAATGTGAGTTTTTCAGCTAAAGGTGAAACTCGGCACGCAGGAGGCCCAACGTCCCACTTGGCCTAAGCGCTGAATTTTTGGTCGTGGCCCCCAGAAATTAGAATGGAGCCTCCCCCACCCTTGGATTTACAGTTCCTCCTAGACGTTATTCTCCTTGAGAGGTAGATCTAGCCCAACAATACTGCAGCGGAAACTGAGCTGATGGTTCAATCCTCTCTACCTCATTTCCCCCCCACCCCCCAGAAGATTTCGATTTCTGTCTAATCAAACTCTCCCCTAATACGGCCGTATTTTTTATTCTTTTTAAAACTGTATTCAAAATAATGCTACTAATGTAATTCTTCCATCCGAGATAATGTCATAATACTGATTAATTATAATCGATGTTTACATTGCAGTTGAAATATGTTGTGTGGAGTTTGCATGTTCTCCCCGTGTCGTCATGGGGTTTCCTCTGGGTACTCTGGTTTCCCCCCACAGTCCAAAAACATGCCATGGTTATTTGGAGTTGCTAAATTGCCCGTAGGTGTGCATGTGTGAATGAATGGTGTGTGAGTGTGCCCTGCGATGGGTTGGCACCCCATCCTGGGTTGTTCCCTGCCTTGTGCCCGTAGCTTCCACGACAGGCTCCGGACCCCCCGCAACCCTGAATAGGACAAGCAGTTTCAGAAGATGGATGGATGGTGAAATATTTGGGGAAAAAAAATTGTGGAAACCCAACTCCACATTTACAATGAGTGCTGTGCACTTCCAAGAAAACTGTTAAGCACCAATTAAACGGTAATCGATGCAACATGCAAAAGCGGAGCCAAATTGCTCTCATGCGCAGCTCTTTACTGTCACGGCTGAGTAAATATTTTCTGTTTGCTTTCTTTTATTCTTCCTTTTTCCAGGCACCGATGGAATGAATGGTAAGCGTGTGCCCATTTAGGCATTTCTGCACTCCAGCTAATCATTAGTCTAACATATTTTCCAATTTCCATTACAATTTCTGCAAAAACAAACATGCTGTTGCGCACTCTTCTCGTAGCAGACGCTGAAAAGAAAAAGAGTACATTTTCTTTCTCCCAGCCTTCGCCCTACCTTCCATTGCCAACCTTTTTTCATTATGTCCAAGAACTGTACAATTTGTAAATGACAGTTCCACAAAACAAGGGGTTGCCACTTGTGAGAAACACCAAAACAATTTAGAATGTCGTGACGGAAAGTTCTGGGCAAATGAAGCCACAGATGAGCTTAGCTGGTCATTTTACACCGGCCAAATTCCTTACACCTTCTCCCAGTCTCCACAACATAATCCCTATAACCGTTTCCATTCCTCCTAAAACACAGAGTGCTTGCTGCATGAACACAAACACAGGCGAGCGTCACAGAACACGGTAACCCATTTCTCCCACTAACCGTTGCAATGGTTAAAACTTAATATCCTGTCAGAAAAGCAAACAAGGCACACAGAGACACCTGGTTCGCCAACAGGGAGACCCGACACGGCTCGACGACAACCTGCTGCCATATAAGCACATGGCCCCTCAATGCTACTGTGCAGGATTTATGGTGCAAGACACAGGTGTCACTACAATGATAAGAAGCAGCAGAGCGTATAGGATGTAGTAATAAAACCAAAAGAACTGCAATCTAAGGGTAACTTTCAACACCTGCTTCATAGGTTTGAATATGAGCCAGACGTTCTCATAGGTTAACGCCGCTTTCCGGTGTCTTCTCTATATAGCAGCGGGGAGGTAAACTGGGCCAAGCAAAGGCGACATTCAGCATCACCCCCAGCCCTGCCATATTCCTGAACTGTTGCTTACTAGAAGAAATATCTTGTCACATCCTGCTAAAGAAACCTCGCCATGTTGCAACGTTTAAAGTGCAGGGCTTAACTGAGAAAGCAACACGACGGTATCTGAAAATTAAGCAAGCAGATTTCAAGACGATAAGGGGGCACTGTAATCGATGCCAACACCCTACAGCATGTAATTTTGCACTCTCTGAACGCTGAGTCAACCCCCCCCCCCCATCACCCTCTAATTGCACATCTGTGCTTAAAATACATTATATATTTATTTCAATAATGCCACTGAAACTCCAGTCTTTAATTGGAGGTGGTCTCGGTGACTACTCTTACCTTTACATAGACCTACAAGAGCATTTATTCCAGCTGAATTTAAGAGTGGAAAACTGTTTCTTTTTTTACGTTAGAAAACAGAAAGATACTGCATGTACTTTTCCAGTCATTATTAAGCTATTTTCACTCCAGATGGAACTGCAAATTGAGGTAATTTAGTACTGAAAGGTGACAACGTGGAATTTAAAGCTGTACACTGCATATTAGCATTTTAACAACCATGTTAGTGTATCTCAGTAGTATAGTACAGTATGGCATAGTGAGCCTATAGTAAAGTTCACATGAACGGAGTTTAATCGGCGCCACGTGTTGGAATGTGACCCTCATCGAAGGCCGCATTAAGTATTCAGGTTACATAAATAACTAATTATTTTATGCAAAACAAAAATGACCTAAATACCTAAACGGTTGTGTTTAATCCCGGTGAATAATCTGTGTAATCCCCTACAATACATCGGCACCATATAATTTTATATAAATGTTAAATATAACTACAAAACTAAACGTTTTAGGTATTGGGAGTCCAGAAAAAATGGTTATGAGAGACATTAATTACCTTCTGGTCCACTATCGAACAGACAAGATCTTTGACGGCAGACAGCGATAGATCATGCGCTTCCAGGTTAACCGTCTCCCGGGTGAGTCCGATCTGGAGGAGGAAGGAGACGCCGTGAAAGGAGCCTCGGGAGTTGGTGGGACTCGGGGCACTCAGGCTTCCGTTAGAGAGCCTGCAGAAGGGCGCTGGGGGGCTGGGGGACGGCGACGGGGTCGGCGGTGCAGCGGGATGCTGAGGATGAGGGTACGCTTTAGGCAAGGGCGAAGGAGACGAGCTGCTGCAGGTAGACATTGGGGTGTCCTCCGATTACCGAGATGCTCACTGTGCAAAATATATATATATGTATATATCAACCGTCCAGCGTCCCGAAAAGGTGACCAAAGTATTACCAACAAATATTACGCCGCTGTATCGTTTTCTCCATCTCGCAGCCTGGAGTGACCGAATACAGCACCTCCCAGATAAATGATCATCAACCCCGATTTCTCGGGTAGGGGGACATTTCGGAAAAGATATGCGGTATCCTAAAATGGGGCGCCTGAAGTTATACAGAAACGTGGCTTTCGAGTCAGCGGGAAACGCCTGTTGATTCCGACTTCATCCTCGGATTGAGCTCGCAAAGCGCTTAAAGCCAATAAATAAAAATGATCCCTAATAAAAGAAATTGAATGCTGTTTCGTCTCTTCCACGTCCTCTGCTGAAGGCGGCTGTATTGCTCCCAAAGCTCGATTAGATTAAGGCCATTCTTTGGAAATGTTTCTTGCTGTATGTAGTCCACTTTTTGCCAGTTGTAGTCCACTGTCAGTCGACGTTCTTCTTCAATCGCCGGAAATCTAGCAACAAACATGAAAAACGGGGAAAACTGAGCGGACACTGGCTTTAATGGATAACTTCACAAACGCACGTTTCTGCGAAATACAGCAAGGAATAAGGCACAGAGCGATTTATGTACGCCTGGTCGACGTAGACACCTTTGAAAATTAAAAAGGTGCTATTAGAGTAACCCATAGACAAATATTGAATTCACAGCGCATATTATAACGACAATACGATTTTAAACATAAATGAACAGCGAAAATGTGTGACATAATTTTTTTTAGTCGCCTCACATTTCGATGACAATCTACTGCTTGCCAGCAACACTTAAAATACAAATATACTTCATTAGGAAACCACCGTTTTCATTTTCGTTTCGGCCTTTAAAGATTAGTAAAAAAAATGTATTTTTATTAATAAGTAATGCTTTGACAATAGCATTGCACATATACATCAGTACCTGCAGTTTCACATACCATGCATGTGTATTTAGTTGCAGGACTTAGCAGATTATGCTTCCTTTTCTAATTTCTAGTTTCATTATACGTCTCACATCTGGAAACAGAACTATTCAACATCTGGGACCCTCCCACTTTCAACAGAAAAGCAGACAGAATAACCACCAAGTCTGTACATGTCAACAAATGAAGTTACACTAAATATATATTGGATATTCTAAATGTGACATAGTATTTCTCACCAACAAAATCTAGTCAATTTCATATTTTCCTCATAAAAAAATACGTTACCTCCGCTTTTTCAAGAAGGCGGTTTTTACAACCCTGGCAAAAGTACTGCAAAAACTTCTAAATTCAAGCAACACCAGAAAACGAGAAATGAAGAGTTAATTCACAGTGCAGTTAGCAAGAAAAAAAACTTCTGCCGGAACTTTAAAACTGAAAATATGTATAAAAATCAATATATAAGCGGATACCCAGTCAAATATCCCAAAGTTCTCCCCCCCTTCAAAAAAACTTTCTCTTCTATCCACAGCCAGTTAGCTAGCTCATGCGCATCTTATTATCCCTCCAGCTGTGACTGCACCCCCTTCTTCCAGTTAGAATGGAGAAGAAGAAAGGCATTATGGACCCTGGAGTTCATGTGGCCTTCTCCGCAATTTTTTTTACCAGTTGTAACGGCGATGCAAAACTACATATCCCATTTTCAATAGAAAATGCTTTTGGCGTCTAGCTGTAAAACACGCATGCGCGTTTATTAGCACGGTTTCCCGTTATACGGAGCCTGTATTGTAGTGGTCTCTGTAGTATTAACGACCTCTAACGGTGAAGTGAAACGCACGAAAGATATAGTGATGTATAAAAGCAGGTTCATGGACACGTATGAGTTTTATTTACTTCCTGTGCCTTACGTGCTAAAATAAAATAAAATCTTGTATGGAGATATGACTTAGGAACAACTATTTAGCGTTTCAGTAGATTAAAAGCTTAAGAAACTACCCGCATAGTTGCATGTTTGACGGTTTTTATGAGCACCATAACAAAATACAGAATTAAAACTGTTAAAAACAACTCTCCAGTTCAGTGAGATCAAACTTTCGTTACACAATTACTTGGGTGTATTCCTTATACCGTTGCCATGTTGCTATAGCACCCTGAAACATAATACTGCATCATGAAGTGCAAGAAGGAAATGTAACATTTCGTAAATATTTGAGCTAGATAATAAGCAATTAATTATGTTAAAGATACATAAATATATATCCAACACAACAAGAAAAATGTCCTAAAAAAGAAAACACGGAGGGGTTTACTTCGAAATTTTAGGAAAATCTAATCGCTATAATTAATTGTGGTATATTGAAGTAAAACACCATAAATAAGATGGACAGAAAAAGGTATCGGATAGGAGGGCGGTTATGAGAGCTATGTTTAAAAAGGGTAAATAATGCGTATTGTTCGACTAAACAAACAAATGTCATTGAAATCAAAACTAGTCATTTCAATTGTTTCTCGAAGGAAGCTGCAGAAAGACGAAAAATAGCACAATAAAGGCAGAAGCCCTCAAAACGCCATCTCAGAGGACACCAGACTTGTATAAAAACAGATGCAACCATGGTAGACAAGAAAATCCCCTAAAGTTCTGAATAAAGCACATACGCTTGCACAATAACAACCAATATTTTAAACTGAATTAATGCTCCATTATAAATGGGTTGTCCCCACCCTACATTGGTGGAGTCCCTGGTGTACCCTACAATACGTATCCAACATGAACAGGAAGATCTGTGTAGGTCAGAAACAATGTTAATTTCCTGTTATAAAATGTCTCCAGTTAACCAATCGAACTGTCCATATCGGTGCATCATGACACAATTTTTGTTGAGGGGGTGATTGTTGACAGCAACAATGTGCTCAATCAGACAGTCACATCATAAATCTGCAGAAAACTCGGGCGGGGAGTCACTGTGGGATGACACATCCAGGTTCATGAAGCACTTTGGAGACTCAGCTTTGCAGGAACCCGGCTCCGCTTTACCTTAACAACATCCCACTAGTCCGGAGTGTTGTGACTGCCTGGATTCGAAATGTTAAATGGTACCGTACAATAATTTGATTGTTCCAGAGATTTCAACACAGATGGTTTAGGTTCCTGTATATTTTTAATATATGACTGATAAACAATGGAGAAACTTAACAGCAGAGAAGACGAGAAAGTTGCAAACACAATATAAAAACTCTTAAGTAGCAGTTATTCTTGCATTCATGATGCTCTTTAAAACTTCCCACCCTCACAAAATTCCTATTACCCCCCTCCCCCAATGAATTAACAACTGCTACATCAAAAGATCATTGGACATGCAAAATTTGTAAATATTGACAGTTCCACTGTGTTGCGGGTGCTAAGATGGCAGCCTGATTGACTGTTCCTGAGTGTTACCTTTCCACTGACAGGCATTAACACATCTGCACTGGAAACCTGCAGCTAAATGGAGTTAAAGATTAATAGACTGCAGTTAGTATATGGGAGTCACTGTTAGCGTAAATTTAACCACATTTCCCGGCCTTTCTGCACAGGTTGCCCGGAGTCAGTATTGCGGGAAACTCGGGTCGATCTTCTGAGCCCATGCCATCAAGCCTCCGCAGATGTCCTTCACCGTCACATTCTCAGTGTCCACGCCGGACATTTGCTCCAGGACCTGGACCGCCTTCTGAGAGTCGTTGCCCAACTTGCAGATGATGTACACTGTAACAGGCAAACGCTTATGAAAAACAGTAAAACTCTGTTGCATAACACCAAACCTTCCACCAAATACGTCTGATCTTCCCAGTTCCCCTAAAACAGCACCAGCTCAAAAGCACCGTGAAGTTTGCGAGAAATAGGTGTGAGTTGATTTCACAATAGAACACCCATCTATCCATCTTTTTTTTAGGGGGGGGGCAGAGCTGTCCTGCATCCCAGGCAGCACAGGCCACAAGGCAGGGAGGTGCTCCCTGGATGGGATGCCAGTCCATCACAGGGCACACACACCCCCACACACATTCAATGGGCAATTTATAGATGCCAATCAATCAACCTGACTGCATGCTCAGGCCTTGTAGGTGAGAGGCAGTTGCGCCCCCTACTGAGCCACCATGCCATCCTCATAACAAAACAAGCTGTGGAAAATCATTCTCCTCCCATGAGCGCCACATAAAACTTAACATAACTCTTCAGCAGTAAATTCTCTCTGTGGACAATAATTCACCTGAGCTGCAGTGCATGGCTCAGGAGCTGCCAAACTGGGCCTCATGATCGTAAAACGCTGGTGAACAGGAAGGCCAGTGATGATTTAAAAAAATTACAAGGGAGCTCTACTCAAGCGTTTGGGGGGGATCTATTGACTTATTTTCATGCATATCGAATCTGCTTAGCAAGGGGGCTGTGACATAACACAGTTCACATTTTTTTTTTTAATTTATGGGCTTTATTTATGAACACCCTTGAACCATTATGATGTGCATGCTAGCTCCATTTTTTCTCTTCTATTCTTGGGTGCATTTTGCTGTGCTTGTGCCAGTTTACTAATTTATTACACTCTGTAGTGTAAATTCTTAATTGCGTGTATAATTCTATGCAAAAAAAAAAAAGGATTGTAACAAAACAGTCATCAGCCTGACCATGTGACCTTGATTTGACAGCACGCTTACCAAAATAGTAAATTAAAATTACTCAACATTAATAAAACATACAGCATCACAGGCTGCACCTATAGTCTGTGGAAATTAAACCTTGATCATTCAAGAAGCGGACAGCTGCTTGCGCAGAATCCAATATTTCTGTATTGGGAAAGAATCTCTTAGCAACAGCAACGTCAACACGGTCAATGGATGCCAAATAAACCTGGTCTTCAGCGGGACCAGCAGCCACAAAGGCTTAATTAGGCAAGAGGAGACTCGGATCACTTATCTTTTTTGTTGCCAAAATGTTGCACTGTCTATCCCACTACTGTGTAACGAGGGGCAGTGCAAAACAAGAGCACCCATGCAAGCAGTCTCATGCAACCTCATCTGCACACGTGCGGCAAAGGCAGCAACAGTCTGCAGGCTTCCTCCAAAAGCCCCGCCCCTCGTTACCACACGCTCAACATGTACACGTCCAGGGGCTGTTTGGTCTTACCCATGCAATAATTTGGAGGTAAATTTACATTGAGCTTCATAGAACACCTTGCCACAAAACATTCTACAAGAATCATCAGTACCCCCCCCCCTCCCTCATTATGACCTGTACACTTTTATGTGACTGATTTCATTGTGATTTTGATACTTTAATACTGGTTAATGTCACACAAGATGTTTCCTTTTTTTCCCTTTCAATATAACCCCATTTGAATGGCGAAGCCGACCAGGAATGCTCATCTCTGTCTGCTGTTTGGAGTCTGATATCTTCTCTTTAAGCTTCTGCATATCTTCTGCTTTCCTGTCCTCTAAGCTTGCAAGTGGAATATCTGTCAGATTCATGGGAAAAATAAGTCTGGTGGCATTTCAGTACCAAACAGAATGTGAATAAGAACACAAATGCGTCTGGTAAATGGTATCGAAGCAGGCGTGCGGCTTCCACCAGACTGTAGGACAGCTTCATAACACAAGCCATCAGAATTCTTAAGTCACGTTCATATTAAAATCTCTGCCGAGCCAAACGCCATTCTAGTACTCGACCTCACTGTACGGTTCACAATAATTCTATTAAAATCTCTATGGTATTTGCACTTTGCCTATAACACTCAACAGAAGCTGCTAAGGTTTCCTTTTGTGCAATAATTGATGTCCATCATGCTGTTCATTATGCTGGTTATATTTAAAACATGTATAGAGAAAGCCCTGTATCGAATATTGTCGCACTGTTCAGTGTTGTTTTTGTCCTTGTGCACATTGTATTGTATCTGTTATATGTTGATGTATGTTGCATCGTGGGCCACAGAGCAACATTCTCTCATTTCACGATGATGACAATAAAGTACCTTGAAGCTTGAAATCAATGATTGTATCAGAGTGGCGATTCTGGTGCCACAGTGATGCTGAAGCAAAGGATACTGAGAGAAAAGGGCAGGTGGCAAATGTTCACTTCCACTAGGGGGCGAACGTCCAGCAAGAGGTGGGGTCTCCCACTATCCACAATCTCCTTATATTCCTGCAAATTCCCAGCGTACAGGACAGTTACGGTTTACACCAGCGATTCTCAACCCAAGGGTTGTGGCAAGTACCGAAAGGGTCGCGAGGCAAAGTTGCAAATGTAAGCGTTTCAAAACCAGCAAGCTCCTGTGCTGATCCACGATCAGATTTCCCAGCTCCAATCCTAGAATTAACCCTTATAAATGGGTCTTGGGTCTGCAAATGCTTGGAGCAAAACTAGCGAACACTCGAACAATCCAAGAAGCCAATCCTCAGATGCTTAATTTAAAATTCACTGGCACATCCAAACAGATTTGTGCGATAGGCGTTGATTGCACTGTGTGCTTCATAATAGCATTAATTTAAACCTATACTTGACATAGGGCCACTGAGCCAGCAATGGTAAAAACTGGGTCGCAGTGGAAAAAAAGGTTGAGAACCACTGGTTTACAAAGACAGATTGTGGTTTCTTGCCAATAAAACTGATGGGATCATTTTACTTTATTTTAAGACAAAAACAATATATAAACACAACCTTGCTTCTGCATAGCTGCCCACTGCGACAGAGGCGACTTTTTAGGTTGCATTTCTGCGGCCGCAGGGATTATTAAAAATGGCATTTTTAAGTGCACTGCGATTTGAAGGCCCGGTCTCACCAATAACTCCCCAACCTAATGCATTTATTCACCAGAAAGCAAACAAACGTGAGCTTATGTAAAAGCTTCACACCCCCCTCACCATTTCAAATTAGTGGGTGGGTCGTCCTTAAGGTCTTCTGTGCTGCTCAGAGCTTGTGCTATTTGCTAAGGTCCATCTGGGTAATTGCCCGAAATTGACAGGGCAATCATATAATTATATAACCGTAATCGTGCTAATCTAAAACCGACGGCCTTAAAAAACATTGAGGGCCCTTCTGTGTGCAGTACCTGGACAGATATCCTCTGTTCACTGGAAAGCAGGGTGAGTCTGCGACACTTCAGGATGCCGTAGCATTAGCGAGTTCCGGAACAGGGAGACACAAAAATACCACGCATCATTAGAATCCAGTTTTATCATCAAAACACAAACATATACTACAAATAACCAGTTTCATCGGTGATTAAAAAGAAAAAGCGATTATTATGCATGATTCGGGGCTATTTTAGCGCCCTTTAATGAACAAAGAGAGGCTGTGTTATGGGGTCAGGCAGGACGTGTGCTTCTTACAAAACTGCACACTGTCTTGGACAAAGTGAGGTCTGGGCACGATCTAGCCCCCAGGGGCTAAATCACTGGCTGAACACTCAGCAGCGCAAGACCCCCCCCCCCCCCACTGCCCCCACAGAGGTTACCGCCCTAATGGCTCAGGATCGCAGCCCAGCACACAGACCGTACACTTGTCTGGATTACGCAAGAAGCCGCACAGATCACCATATACCTGCCTCCATACCTTGCCAATTATCACCAGAACAAAAAAATATACACAATTATTGTGATAACAAAAAATGAGCACATTTATGAACATAGATTTCTAATCCCTGGTAATTCAAAACTGAAGATGTATCCATTCTTATATTAACATTATAGTAAGCGCAGGCTTTAAGATGATGCTTATTATTTTATGATATTGTTAACGCTAGCTTATAAACTCTAGCTAGTTATTTATTGTTTCTGTAACTGTTCTTTGATATATATTTTTGCCGTTGTTTACTGATGTAGCCCTTAGGAATGATCCAAATCATTTTTAATTGTAGGTATAATTGTGCAATGAGAATGAAGAACACTGAGCCTCCATCCCCCCCGTCCCCCCCGTCTCACTTTGTCCGTAGCAGCAGATCCGCAGAACTCCTCGTAGTTCTGCAGCTCAGTGACGGTTGGTCTATCCCCACACACCACGCACTCCGTCTGCCGGGAACGGAGTCGGATTGAGCGGAGACGGGACGTCTGGGCCTCGAACATCAGCAGCTGCTGCCCGAGGGACGCTGGTACAACTTTGTCAAGGGAGACCAACTGCAGCACGCACAAAACACCAGGGGGCGCCACTCGCAAGGCGGCCCCCACAGCCCCTACTGCCGTCCGTGCCCTGGCGAACTGAGACTACAGCAGACACAAAATCATATTAAATATATAAACCTGCTGCGCTCCAGAAAACCACAAAAACACAATTTTACCATCAATACTAAAACCATTTTTAAAATTTCCATCTGTTTTCTATAAACATTTATCAACTGCAGACGTATAACAAGCTTGGAACATGTCTGTGGAAGCAGAGGAACAATAGACAGAACAACCAGGACAACCAGTCCATCACTGAACACAGACACACACACAAACACACAGGATGCTTCAGGAACATCAACCTGCGTGTCTTTGAACTGTGGAAAAAAAAACTGTATAAGGGTCATAATAAAGGCTTTAAGAAACCTTGTGGGCCTTCAGAGACCAAACCTTGTTTCGTAACGTTTTATCTGACGGACTGAAGAGGAAGAAAAAAATAAAATAAATATTGGCCGCTTCCTTGCAGGCGCGATGCCACAAAAGCCCATTGAAAGTGTGATTCATTCAAAGGCCGACTCATCGCCCTGCAGCCAGATCTTGTTTACAGAGGCAGCGCCGCCACCACGGCCATGAGACAAAGCGCAGAAATAAACGCAAAACGGCCGTCATTGTCCACGGAGGATACATCCCTGGCCAGAGGCGATCTTCAGAACCTCCAGGGCTTGGAAGCAGCCCATAATCCCTGGCACTGCGGAGTTTGAAAGAGAAACGCTGTATCAGAGAAGACACTGCAAGGCCATGAACGCCATAATTTTCGAATTATTATTATATATATATATATATATATATATATATATGATTGGTATAGTTATATATATAGTTTTAATGTAATTTCAAAATCTAAAAAATGAAAAATTGTTTCATGGTTGTTTTGGAGGACAGTGGAAGTGGGAAAGCTGAAAACAAAGTGTCACACCTGCCATTTAAAAATAAAGGTCATCAATAACTGGGAAGATTCGGCCAAGACTCACCGACGCCCAAGACCCCTCCATCGGAGCAATTGGTTACCGTCTCCAGGGGCGGGGGCACAGGGTACAAGCACCTGTAGCAAGGCCCTCCACGGTAGTTATATACTGTCAGCTACAAGATGCAAGAGGCGGAAGAAAGAGGCAGGGGTCTTTAAAGGGAGAAGTAGCAGTGCCAGTGAGCAGACTTTGCCATTGGTCAGCCAATATGCCAATCACCCAATCCCGCGTGCTCATTGGATGACAAGACGGCAAGCGGCCGAGGCCTTACCTGTCCCTCCATCCGCAGGGCGCTGGCGGACACCAGAGGCTTCCCGCTCAGAACGCAAGCATCGTTCACCAGGTAACGCGTGGGCACATTGTCCGAGCAGTCAGCCACAATGTCGTACATGGGGGAAACGTTCAAGGAAGCATACCGTTGCTGAGCAACATACTTTAGTTAGTGTAATTTGACAAATGGCACAGTCTCACACACACCCATACATAATCTACAGGATGAACATGGAGTAGGTCATGTATTTTACACATAATAAAGAACATCAGTGTCGGCTCAGGGCGTTACTGCTGTGACTGATCAGGTAGCCAGTTCGAGCCTCGGTAGAACAGTCACATTTCTGTTTGGCCAGTAACGTCGTCCCCCCCCCCAGCCCCCAGCCCCCAAGTGCCGAATAAGTGGTCTGACCCTGTATTCCTACCTCAAGCTCTCCTCTCAGCTGTACACGTGTGTCAGAATGCACCCCTCAAAAGAGAGCAAGACGCAGTTTGCAAACAGAAGCATTCCAATGCACCTCTGCAAAAAATGGCAAATAAAAGATTATTCCATTTTAGGCAAGCGTGTTTTTTTTCCCCAAAGCAACCTTTTTAACGGGCTGCTTCTGCACAGTGCAGGAGGGTCCAGGCCTCTGGTTTTGCCCGGGAAGGATACTGCTGAATGAGCCGCAGCGCGTTGTCGGGAGAGAGCTGCAGGTGGTACGGCACACAATGCACCGCGGAGTTCAGCCTGGGAAAGCCGGCGACAGGAAACAGGAATTACAGCTATCAGACGAGGCGTCAAATTCACCGTTACGCTCTGAGCACCTGCAAATGCTTTCATTTAAAAAAACGTCAAAGGCGTCTCATTTGTACAACTAATCATTGTCTTTATAGTTTTATTATACATTATACATCCATCCATCCATCCATCTCCCAACCTCTTATCCTAAATAGGGTTATTTTCATTGAGTCCTGTTCTGTTCCTTGAGACTAAAGACTGGAACACTACAGACAGCACTGGGACTTAATATGGTTATAACTCACCTTTGTAAATGTCTATATGTTCTGCAAGCCCAGAGTATCAACATGAACAAAACCGGCCTTGCAAAGAAGACTCTTATTTTCTCAGTTTAGTGTTTGACAGTGTGACAATGTGCATGAGCGCCCTGCGAAAGACTAGTGCCCAGTCCGGAGCGCCACCACATCACTGACGGCAATTTAATATGCGGTTACTGAAAATGGATGGACCGTTTGTGAGGAACTCAGCTGCAGTTTAGGTCAACAGTGCCACCCAGTGGCGAAAGTGGGACGTTCCGCGCAGCCCACCTTCCGACGGCCTGCGCGGCTGACAGGGATTTGGGTTTCCCTTGCGTGTCTTCTCCGTGAAGCACCTGTCTGTGCAGGTTACTCAGCTCCACCTCGTCGTAGTCCAGAAGACCCAGACGCCCTGTAGCGGCGTAAAGATTAATATGGGATCTGGCGGCAACGGTGTCATAGATCATTAAACTGTAGTCACTTTTGTAAAGAGGTCTGGACAATAATACTGATTTACGAATACGGTAAAATCACGTTGGTGATAACACAAATGCTTATAATATTATTGAAAACTGAATTACACAGCTTCACAAGACGATTGTCTGCCTACATCGTTACATACCGATGCCAGCCGCAGCCAGGTACTGCGCCAGGGGGCAACCCAGTCCGCCACATCCGACCACCAGCACCGACGTGCGAGACAGGAGTAGCTGTCCTGTAAAACGGCGAGCTGGGGTCAGGCACACAAGTTGTTCTTTACTCTCGTTACCCGTAAATGTGTAGATGGTGTTGCACTTATTAAGGTGTTTAGTTGCACGTGTACACTCGTATGTCGCCGATTCCGAGTGTTTTGGGAGTTACTTTAAAAAATACCTTGCACACCAAGCTCTGGAAGGAGGAGCTGTCTGCTGTACCGCATTATTTCTTCGTTTGACAGAGTCGCTTTCGCTTTCAGGGGTGGCAGCGGACTGACATTTTCTTGCATGTCGATAGAATTTACCTGAGAAAAAGAATGTTTCGTAGAAAATTAAGGGAAAGAAAACACGTTTTACCCAATTAATTAAATTACAGTTATTTATTTAATGCATATAAATTTTATTTGTATTCTGCAACTGGCGACATGGGGAAATATTAATACATTGATCAAAACAAACTTTAACCGGAACTTTGCTGTCCCCAGAATGCAGCGCAGAGCTAGCGACAGGCAAAACAGAAAAAGTTAATTATCTGAAACGTCTCTGTGATTTTATACATCACTTTCCAATTTAATGATTCGTATATCAGACATCTACCTTCTGTAATCGTGCTAGTTTATCCTTTAGAACAGCTATCTCCTTATCTTTCTCCAAAAGCTGCTCCTTTAAGCTATAAAATTCTTGCTCCATTTTATTTTCTGGAAATGGATTCTCCTTATGTTTAGCGAACTATAATCAAGACAGTGAATAAACGGGATAACGAAGACATCCCATAAACTCCCGGTTTTAGCTTTGCTCTGCACCCACTTCCGGGACTACAACGGGGACACACGTGGCTTGTGACCACGTGGAGGGCGGTGTGGTGTCATGTGACTTCTTTTAATGACGTAGCCTGAACTTGAATGTGTCTGTTAATTACATAGCTCTGGTTTTTTATTTCGTGTCGTGTGTTCTTGGTTATTATAAACGAAACGTTCATTATTTGAACAATTAAAAATACGTTTGTAAAACGTTAATAAATACTTAATAAAAATGAGCAACACTTTTGTCTACGAAAGAAGCTGTTTTTTAAGCAGAAATGATGTGTGTAAAGTATGCACAGCTGAATGTAAAATATGGAGAGTTCCCTGGAGCTGGAGCTGAAAGAAAATGGAATCGCTGCTCCCAAATCCAGAATGTACTGTTGCATCAGTGGGGTTCAAAAAATCGGTGACGCGCCCGCGAGTCCAGCCTCATGTTCCTCACATGATCGCAGGAGAGGAATGTAGTCGGACTAGTGTATAGAGATGGTCGAACGGCTGTTGAGTGGAAACATGTATCTTTTCAGTATATTTGGCATTTGCTTAACAATCATCAGTCAGATCAATGGACAGGCAGGCGAAATATCTTGGACGCAACAAAAGGTACTTGACAGTTCTTTTTCATTTCCCTATATTTACTGAGTGTTTTTCTATGTTTGTTTCAAGTTTCGAAAATCTGGCATTTGAAATTTATTTTGTAAGCAAAAAAATATCTGTATTTAATATAGATATAATTAAAGATGAACATTTGTGTAACTCAAAGATTTAAGCATAGCGGCTGCGTTGAATAAATATGTAAAGTTATGTGATAAAACCAGTTCTGTATGTATAAAAATTCTGAAAAATAAATCTACATGTCATTTTCCACCGAATTTAAAAAGGAAATTGTTCTTTAACAGTACGGATCTTTTAAATATACTTCAATGCACTATAATCCATCTGTCTTTAAACATCATCTGAATCAGCATGAGGTCATTGCTGGTTGTAGAATAAAACGTCACTGTTATATTTCATAAGTATATTTCATGAATGAACTAATTACTGTTTTAAATATTTTAATTTAGTTTATAAGCATTTCACTAATTTACCAGCGGTGTTGTTGCCCCCACACTCTGCGTTTAACACAGATGCTTCTGTGTACTCTCCAGCTTTGTTTGTCCCTCATCCTTTCATTGTCTCGTTGCCATGGCAGCACTGTCTTCATCATTGATCTACCAACTGGAGATCTTCATATTTTTAGGTCCTGAGCCAGACCTCCTTCGAGTCTACTGACTCAGTGAGTCGTTCCAGCCCTTGGAATCACATCTGCGAACCGATGTTCTCTTCAGGGAACAAGTCCCATTAAATTTAAAGATCCTGAAGCTTCAACTGGAGAATAAGCTATAAGGCAAAAGCTGTGTGTGTCTTTGCTACTTAAGAACATAACCACTAAGATATTTCCCCAGATTATCATGGTTGCAGCCAGAATTCCATGTGAAATATTGTTTCTCATCGTCTCACACTGTAAACTGCAAAACCTGCCCTTGCATTGAGACTGAACCAGATTTTCAGAATAGAAGCAAATTTTATTGAAATGATTGTTTCTGTGGGGAATCACTGCAATTAGTTCAGGAAAAATAAGATACTCTGCTACAGTTTTACTCCAGAAAAATTTTCACGAGGTAATCAGGCACTATGGTGTGTCTAGGTCAAGTGTCAACTTTTTGTTTTTTTTTCCATTTCATTTCCAGAGTACTTGGTCCTGAATCATTGTGGAGGTGCAGTGCATACAAATATTACATCTGAATTAATATGGTTGCTTAGAAACCAGCACATGGGGAATTCCACCCAGTTGTGTGTCCTGCAGTTGTGTCTATCCGTCTGTTGGCTAATAAGCAGATAAGCAGTATTCCATAGGTAACAGTGACTGAAACCTCCGGCTTAACGGTCAGCCTTCCAGCAGTTTCCAAGACAACCAAGAGTCTGTTTACCTTCAAGGTTGACAACATGGGGTAGAATATGAATCATCCCTGTTCCTATGCAGGGTACGTACAGCCCCTCATCCTCACTTGAGATATTCCATTTTTGTTATCCTACGGTAATCTCAGAATTGCCCGTTTGTAGCTACTTACTAGGCGAAGGATGAGAAAATAGCAGAACCAGTCATAAATAGTTGTCTCACCACAGGCTGTGACTGTCCCCAAGGTTTTGTGATCATGACAGACAAATGGTGAGCTCCAAGCTGTAATCATGCATGGAATCCAGAAGGGTGCAGATCTGAACATCCGGAGTAAACCTGGTGGTGTAGGAGCGAAATCATGTTAGAAAGGGTCACGCTTCTACAGTACGTCACCTTTTAACGCACGGAAAGGCGAAATGGATGCCCTCATATGTACACAAACTCCCCTGCGGCGCACTGATGGTGTGTTTGTGGTAAAAGACCAGGGCAGCCGGCCTGGTCATGTAAGCAAGGACAAACTTTAAGAGCAGAAGGTCTTACAGAAGAGCAGTGTGTCTGCATCATGGTGGAAGATGGTGTTAATCTGTCTCCATACTAAGTGGTGTTTGTTTCCATAATTAACCCTGAGAAGAGGCTGTTTCGAAGTATCACATGGAAACAAAGGATTTAAGCACAGTTTGTGCCACAGAAGACATACACACAGTGTGGTATTACAGTAAAGGAAGAAGGTTTGTCCTTGTAGTGGAGGATGTTTTTTTCAAACCTCTCATGAACAGTCTCTCACCCTTAGAAAGGAACTCTGTAATTTATCGTCCCATCTTTCAAAATAATAGGACCACTTTACTGCTGGTCTTTCCTTAGTACTGTTTTCGTCGTGGAGCTTGTTTCTGCTGTGTGGTGGAACCTGCTGATGAGAGGAATTACAGAGAGATTCAGATGCACCTCCTCCTCTCTGACTCCGGAGTCCCCTCGCGGGTGCTACTCCTCCCCTTTCCTCCTCTCTTTTTTTTTTGGTCATTTGATCTCAGAATCCTGCAATTTCCAAGCAGTTCAGCCATACCCACAAACAATTTGGGGTTCCAGTGGAATCTACCTCCCGGTGCAGTTGGCGTGCTGGCATGGAACGAGTGCTCGGCTGTTTCGAATCTACGTTTTGGTCCGCCGGGGAAATTATTTGTTAAACGCTGCCATCAGCGGTAGCCTGTGAGAAAACATGTTAATGATTTCATCCTTCTGAAATGTTCGCATTGGGAATGCGTACATACTTTATGGGCTGGCAGTGTTGGTTCTGGTTAGTCAAGGGTCTCTGCATGGGTTGTACTATGGAAGCTGGAACAAGTATGAATTATGGGGCAATCAGGGAGAGATTTCGGTCATACTGGGAAGCTTTTAGCTAGTAAGATGGCATAATAGCATCTGGTTGGTTTACATGCAGTTATGCTCACAGGTGAGACTTGTGAACTGCTGAACTACTGGTCAACAGCAGTGGTTAGCACTGGTGCCTCACCTCTGGGACCCGGGTTCGAGTCTCTGCCGTGGCTCCATGTGTGTGGAGTTTGCATGTTCTCCCCCATGTCTTTATGGGGTTTCCTCTGGGTTTTCTGGTTCCCCCCCACGCTTTATCCATCTGGGTCGCGGGGAAGCTGGAGCCAATCAGGCGAGAGGTGGGGTCCACCCTGGGCAGGTTGCCAGTCCACCACAGGGCCAACACAGACAAACAGCCATACACACTCGCAGTCACACCTACTGTATGGGTAATTCAGAGTAGCCAGTTGACCTAGTCTGCATGTCTTTGGACTGTGGGAGGAAACTGGAGCACCCAGAGGAAACCAGTCCAAAAACATTCTGAAGTTAATTGGAGTTACTAAATTGCCGTAGATGTGACCTGTGATGGGTTGGCTCCCCATCTAACGTTGAATAGGATAAGCAGTTACAGAAAATGGGTGAATGGAAAATGGTTAGCATAGCAGCCTAACAGCGTCAGAAGTGACCTCATGCCCTTGTTCCATGTATTGTGTAGAGGTTGCATGTCCTCCCATGTTCTCATCAGTTTCCTCCAGTACTTCAGACATAGGGTTTAAAGGACATTTCAATCTGTAAAGTGTCTTTAGTCTGTGATTCTGCGTACATGCATCCTGGGATGGACTGGCACCTTGTCCAGAGTGTGCCCTGTGATTAAGGCTGTTGCTTACAGCAAAATTACCCTTTATTAGTCTCACCTGAAATCATTTGAACTCAAAGTACCAATATTATAAAATAATGCAAATCAGCTACGAATTTGACTTGTGCAACGTCATTGTCAATGATGTCCTCTTTGTCTCACTGGCTCAAGTTAATTATCTAATAAACGATTTGACTAATCGATTCTTAGAAATTCTGTTCATGCTTGCAATTTCCATTTCAGGAAAGAACGATTATATCAATACCACAATAAGGATCCCATATGAGAAAGTCTAAATGTAAGAGTACCAAAAAGAAATCTTGTCAGTCTGTTATATTTCAGGCGGTTAGCGGAATAGCTCTGCCACATTGGCTGAAAGCTTGTACCCGTCAGCAAGCTTCAACCCACTGAATACTTTTATTGAATGAAACACAAAGTGGAGTTATGATCCCTTTAAGTTAAAGCTGTAACTCTAAACACATAGAAACACAACAAACAAAAGTGCAGCATCAAGCACAGATTTCCTTCCACACTCCTCTGGCATCTGCACAGCTGACCCTGTTTAAAAAATCACTTATTTCACTCAGAACCAGCTGGGTTTTATAAGAACGAGGCATCTGTGGGCACCGGGCTGGGGATCCTTTGCCATGGAAAGAGAAAAGTTCATCCAAGCCCAACATGTGCTTTTGCTGACTGGCTCACATGTTTCCGTTCTGCACAGGGTGGCACAGTGCAGTGGTGCAGTAGTTGGCACAGCTGTCACACACCTCTGCAGACCTGTGTTTGAGCCTCTGCCCTGGCTCCCTGTGTGAGGCATTTGTGTGTTTTCCCTCTCTCATTGTGGGGTCCCTTTCCTCCACACACAGTCCAGCACAGGCTAAGGTGAACTGGAGGTGCCAAATTGTCCATAGGTGTGTGTGTGTGTGTCCTG